GAATTGAGTGAAAATGATGTACAGTACACAATCTTTATATACAGACTAATGACTGATATTTAGCCTAAACTTAAGCAAATGGAAAAGGCAAGAATAATGAGAAAACGGTCTGATACAATCTATGCAATTATTGGCAATATTCCTCAGTTATTATTCCTTTGATTGTTTCTTCCTTGATTACCGCCTCATAAACCATCTGTGATGTTTAAGTAAAACTGGAAAGCTGTTCCGGTGACGACATCTATTTGATTGACGACTAGAGATTCGGAGGTGAAACGGAGCTGAAATCTTCCCTTCTTGTAGCTTGTTCCGGAGATGGCTGATGAAAGGATGCTGTCTAGGCCTAGTTCTTGTCCTGGCAAGATTGTGTCTGTTGGATATTGGAAGCTCTCCCATATGTTCTCTGAATTCCTGCCTGTGATGACAAAGTTTCCAGTATCCAGCATGGCTGCATGGGATACCCCTCCAGTGCCATCTTGGGTGCTGTTAGACCACCAAAGCTCCATGCCAGAACGAGCTCTGAGCACTAGGCCATTGGAGGTAAGCTCAACTCTGGATTGTATCTCTACGGGGTTGCCTTCATTTGCAGACCAAACTATGGTTTTATCGGGTATGTTGGCGAACCAGATAGCAAGAAGGAATAGACCTTGTTGGTCTGGAACACGGCGAAATCCAAATTCAAAATCACCGGATGGTGATCGCCATGTAAGGTTTCGATCATCGGCAGGGAGAGCATCGCCCACGCTGACACTTCGGGAACCCTCTTGAGCGGCTGCAAGAAGGAAGAAACTAGTTAGCAGGATCAGCAGTGGATTCCGAACAAGAGCTAAAGATGACATCATGGAATCAGATGAACATTGTATAAAGAAGTGATTGTAAATCCTAAATCCCCAAAGAAAATTTGGGAGTTTCCTGATTTTCGGACGTGTTTTGGAGAAGCTAATCTGCCCTATTTCAACACGGCAATCGCTTTGACTGCTTGAGAGTCACACGACTTCGAGTCTTCCTGGTAGGACCGGAAAGTGGAGAAAAATGACTCTTCGTACAACAGTCCAAAATTGTCAGCATCACGTGAAAATGTTTCTCGACGGTCATTAATGGATTCATTCCTGACTTTTGAGCCAGAAGCTTCATGTCTTTTCGATCTGGTTTCTGTCAGGCCCAGCCCAATCGAAATTCTTCTTCCCATCAACTATCACAGAATTAATTTTAATTAATTAATAGTAAGGGTGAACATTGCAATGAATACACTTTCGTTATTTATAAATATTTTATTTATTTACATAATTATTATATTTGAATTATAAAAAAAGTTAAGTAAATGATAATATAAAAATAAAAATTAATACATTTCAATTTCGATTGTTAAAAAAATAAAGTTTTAATATATATTTAAAAATTAAA